ACCCTCCAAACACGGGGAAACGCTTTCAGCAATTCCTCTCCCTGCACTATCAATGACCAGGGCACGGGTAGCCCATGATCACTTTCGAATACAGGGGGCAAGGAATGTTTTATTCCCATTCCTTTATTCAATTTATTTGTATCCTTATATTTAGAGTGACTCTCTTGTATATAGCACATTGCTGGATCATTTTTTAAAAAATCTCTTCTGCCACTTTATGTCTTTCAATTATTGATTGGGAAGAATTTATCAGTGCCATTTGTTAACTGTTTTCCCTTCCTCCCTCCCTCCTTCTTTCCTTCCTTTCTACCTTCCTTTTTTTCTTCCTTTCAGTCCCCACCCGCCCAACCTTCACCCCTGGGAATCAACCCCAGAGCTTTGCTTATGCTAAGAATGTGCTCTTCTACTGAGCCAAACCTCCAGCCCTATTTTACAGGCCTCTTGTTCCTCTTTTACTCTCTTGCAGTCTTCCTTTGTGTTTCATTGGGTTGTTTTTATATTAACATGCTCTGGAAAAGCTGCCGTCTGCAATACCACATTATGGGCTTACAGATAACAATAGTGTTAGAAGGGAAGTTAAGTGATCTAGCCATAGTAAGCAAGTGTTGTAAGTGAAATAAAAGGATAAGGTAGAATTAGAGAGAGTGTATCTAAAAACAGAGAGCTCTCAAAGGGATTTTGAAAATGTGTCTAATCCCTATATGCACAATTTCGTTGAAGGAAATGTTTTTCCAAAGCAACCATGCTTCCCATGCCCTAAAAATGTGGAGATGGATGAATTCTCGATTCTGCAGTCTTCTCTACTAGGTCACTGCCTGAACCCTGGTGCTCCTGCCCASACAGGTCTGATCTGGATAGAGTGCCAAACTTCAGGGTGGCCCCTCCCTGCCCTAGCCATTGTCAGTCACCTGGGTATTCTTTGGGTGGTGAACTCTGGATTCCAGCAAGGATGCTTTGTTGCCCATCAATATAGTATGTGCAACCCATGCAGTCTGTGCTGCAGATCCAAGCACACAGACAGGTCAGGAAGAGTGGTCTCCCAGAGGCATGCATGCCCACCTGCCCTGACTCCCAACATGGGCAGCTCTAGGTGTCTGCAAGTGTTATTCAAGTAAAACTCCAAGGTCAAATAAATTTGAGAAACACTGGCTGAAGAGCAACACAGGATATTCAGGTAATTAACCACAGGGCTCCGCAGGGTTCTCCAACAACTGAATCATATTATGCMGGCTTTCCAAAATGAGTTTGACCTGAAAACCCTCTTTCTTGAATAACTCTAAGCATCAATGTTCTAGGGAAATAGCCTTCAAAAGAGGAGAGAGAAAAGGCTGCAGGACTAAGAATTAGGGAAATATCAGAAGCCAGAACTTATTTTAGCTAATATGAAAGAAAGAGAGAAAGAAAGAGAGAGAGAGAGAGAGAGAGAGAGAGAGAGAGAGAGAAGGAGAGAAAGAAAAATAAGAGGTCATATTTTAAAATTGTGTCTCTCTACAAAATTATAAGGAGCAAAAACTGCTTGCATTCTGTATCTAATTCAGAATTATTCTGACATTACATAAAAGTACCTTGTCTGTCTGTTTCACTCTAAACCAAGTATCTCCTCTCATAAATCTCACTTCCAGAACCACCAGGCTGTGGTATTCACCTCTCTATTCAGGTGTCTGGAGGCAGCTACCGAGTCTCCTCCACACTCCTTTCCCACCTGCAGCCCTCAGTTCCTTCAGCTCCTTCTCAGTCAAGAAAGCTCTGGAATCCTTGGCCACTCTCAGTCAGCGGACCTAAGCTAGTTTCTCAGAAAGTCTCTCATCTCACATTTCCAACCCAAAGCCACAATACCACGTGTGTACAGGGTACACTATTATGTGCTTTTATACATCATATTTACATATCGTGTATTACATTTTCTATTACATTATTAAATACTATTATTTAACATTATTAAAATATTTTCCTACCACTTTACCATGATTAACACCGACTTCCTGAGATCTTGAAATCTTAGTAAACAGAGATTATTTTGCTTCTTTTGCTTTATCATCTTTAAAAACTGCTTTAACCTTTCCATATTAGAGAGTAAGATGATCTTGGAAACCTTAAAAAATGTTACATATTGACATGAAAATTATAATAAAATTTCATAATTTTTTTAAAAAGGAGCTTGGAGGTAATCTTTCTTTGTATGAGTAAACCAAGGCCTGAATAGTAAAGTGATTTRCTGCCTTTGATTTCTTTAATATATATTTTTTAGCATATACCATGTGCTGGGCATGATTCTAGTTATACTGCAGTGGAAAAAGCATGCAAAATTCTCGGTTCTACTGTGACTCATACTCAACTGTAAAGAATTAGGAATTGAATTCTTTCTGTTGCTCTCTTCCCTTTCTTCCCTTTCTTCCCTTTCTTCCTCCCCCTCCTCTCCCTCCCTCCCTCCCTCTCTCCACTCTTCTCTTTTATATTATAATAGTTCTTTTAAATTTATATATATATATATATATATATATATATATATGTAAATGTAATGTCCAAGATCAATGCAAAATGTTATATTTAAAGCTACACTTAATCAGTCTGTTCCTGGATGAACTCAACCCCCCAAATGGAATAATTTCAGTGAGATGAAATGGAAGGAAATAAGATAGTTTTACCTTCCAGATCAAATGCCTCTCTGACAAAATGTAACTGTTTAAAAAGAAACATTATTGTGGGTAGTCTCCCAGCAGAACATCACTGAGAATGTTTTCCTAATTCAAGTTCAGAAGCACTTCTACCACAAATTTTATTGTCAGAGACATGCTGYAATGCTTGTATGTTGTTGACAAAAATGAAAAAACACAGCAAAAATAAAAATGTCAGTTCATACAAAAGGCAACATTTCTAAGAGTAATCAATTCTTTAAACATTTATTGCTTGTTTTACTGAGAGCTGATTCTGACTTGTCATTTTTTATTAAATCATTTATCAGACGTTTATCACACTGGAGCCTGGAATAGGCCTATGGGATCAYAGGAAAATGAACAAGGTATTCTATGGAGCAGGAGGCACAGACATGTGTCCCTAAACGGGACCTGTAAAAGGACACACCCCTGTGACAATCTATGACTGCCTGATTACCAAGGCATTGTTCACCCTGCACCTTGCCCCGTGAGCCGGTTACCAGCGTTTGGGAACTGGATGGGAGGGCACTCAGATGAGAAGCACACTGTGGGTCAAGGACCCAGAGCATGAAAGTGAAAGTCATTCTGGAGAGCACATGCAAAGGCAAATTACTGGACCATCAAGGAGGAGACAAGGACAACTCAGTTTGGGGGATCTGTTTCACCACACTTCAGTTGAATGCACATATCAAATGACTCCCATCCTGGTAAGTCAGATCCTCCTGTAGGACGTCCATCTAGAAGAAAACTGCAAAGAGCATCACTCCAAATCATGTAACAAAAAAGTCCAGACAAATCACAAGCCAAAAATTATTCTTGATCCCATGATAGAGTYGAGGCGTGGGCACAACTAACTACCCTGAAATTTAAATAAAGGGAGCTACCTTCAAGAAGAAACAGAATATAAACACCTGCTTAGCTGTGGAGACACYTGTAAAATACTAATTTGAAGAGTTCAGCCCCAAACTTATAAGAAAATGGCCAAAGTCCAGAATATGGGAATCCTGGGACTTCAGGTAAATGAAGAATTCCACTCGCTCTCACCCTCCTCACCATGGTCCTCACTGAGCGCTCACTGTGAGCACTCAAGAAAGCATCCTTGTCGTGCAGGACTGGGATTGGCAAAGGGTCAGCATCTGCTGCCAGAGGGTAGGACACCAGGCTTGGATCCCCTACACAAGATGTTTACAGACCAAAGTCCTAAACCACTGTGAGAAGTGCAGCAAACACTACATCCCCAGGGCACTGATGAATACCCACCGCAGCCGGGAGACAGAACACAAAGCCTGGAGCACATAATAATAACTTTAGGGAGAAAGCCAAGAGCACAGAAGGAGGCTCTCTCTGAAAATCAATGCAAAGAAAAGAACTAAAAATGAAGATGCAAAAGACATGCATAAAATCACTGAATGGCAAACCACTCTCCATTCTAAACAGGAGGTAGTACAATCTGAAGACTACAGTGCACTGAGTTGTTGCACCATAGCAACCACAAATCTGAAGTCAAGATTGAATCAAACCCCCACATTAAAGCCCTAATAGAAGGAAAAGCATCTTCATTTCTAATATTGGCCTTATTTTCTACTATCTACCTCTTAATAAAAAATTTGAAACATATAAATAAGCTGGGGGTCGGGGGAGGGGGAACACAACACAAAAGACAATGCAATAAAAGAAACCACCCTGGGGCATAACATTTTCAATTTAGATATTTTGAATAACTGAGATTAGTATGTTAAAAATGTCAGTTATGGACACATACAAAATCAAATGAGCAATCTGAGCAGAGAGATGGAAAGTATAAGGATCAAATTAARTGCTAGAATTGAAAACCATATTAACAAAGATGAAAAATGCCTTTAACAGATTCACCAGTAGACTTGACAAATCTGATAAAGCAATTAGTGAACTTGAAGAGAGACCAATAAAAATTACACAAACTGAATAGGACAAGAAGAAAAAGAGAAAAATGTAGCACAGTATTTAAGAAGAATGGGACAATGTCAAACCATCTAGTGTGTGTAACTGGAATCCCAGAAATTAATAAGAGATAGAGAAATGGGCAGGAAAAAATAGCCAGGAATCTTTTGAAATTGACAATATCAAACCATAAATCCAAAGAGCACAGAAAACATCAGATGCCAAAAGCAAACAAATCAAAACCAAACTTAAGTGTACCATATTCAAATTTCTAAACACAAAAGACAAAGAAGATCTCAAAGGTATTCAGAAAAAAACACATTACATACAGAAGACCAAAGATAAGCATAACAGATTTATTGTCAGACTATGCAAATCATAAGATTATGGGGTGAAACCTTTGCATTTCTAGAAAGAAAAACAAATCAAAACAAAATTCTATACCCAGGAAAAAATACATTTCAAAAATAAAGGAGATTCAGCAATTCCACTAGTAGGTATATATACAAAAGAATGGAAAAC